ATCCGTTCGTTGACCACTTCCTCCACTTATCATATCTAATACATACTTGTGTTGAACACCTCTTTGTGGACAGTTATTGCACCGATTGGTGGGACCGGTGGCCACCGTTGCCGTTGTCGGCAAATTTCATTCGGGAAAGTCTTTCCTTATGAACCAATTGATGGGCAAATCCAGTGGCTTCGGCATCGGACCAGACACTAGGCCTAAGACAATGGGCATATGGATGTGGGGAAAGGTATGCATTATAATGACTGTGATTACCACTCAATAACATGTCTTTGATGTATGTCGTGAACAGCCGACTCAGTATACCCTGGATTCTGGTCTCAAAGTGTGGATAATCTTTTTGGACACCGAAGGCTTTGCCGCAAACAATGTGTCCGAGAATTATGACGCGAAGATATTCGCCGTTTCGACACTCCTTTCATCTCATCTGTTGTACAATTCAGTGAAAATCATCGATCAGTCGGACATCGATTACTTGGAACTGTTGGCCCGAAGAACCCAATTGTTTGCACTGCGCTCTCAAATGTCGCGCAAGAAGTGGACCAACGATTTCAATAAGGATTTACTGAGTTTTCCGCCACTGGTTTGGGTCGTCCAGGACTTCGTTCAGTCGACTGTCGACGAGTCACCAAAACAATGGTTGCATCGACTCATGGACTCTTACACCCGAGACAATGATTTATATGCAATAAGTCTTAAGGATATATTCAAATCAGTCGACTGTCACACACTGTTCCTTCCGGCCGTCAAAAAGCATATCTTAAACGATCTCTCTTTGGCTAAAGAGACCGATTTGACTGAAGAATATGTGTTTGAAAGACAGGAACTGATCAAAAAGCTGAAGAAACAGATTGTGCCCAAAGAGAAGAATAATAAGCCCATCAGTGGTGTAGAGTTGGCGGCGCTGTTGGAGATACTGGTGAACGCGGCAAACGACGGCTCTCTGGCAGACGTCCCCAACAGATGGGATGCGTTCGTCATTCGACTCCAACAGACGGCTATTGAAGACTGTCTGAAGTTCTATGAGGC